GTCACTGCTATTTATTACTCTGCATTGTCTGACATAAATATTCCATTCATTCATAAAGAGACCGCAGCGATTCTAAAACGGGTTACATTTGAGAGCTATTGAGTTAGAAAATAGAGTAAAAGAAGTAGCCTCTGAGGTGATTAGTCTGATTAACATGACGCACACAGAGACACACATATGAATAATCAAATTGAAGAAATCTGTTGTTGCAGGTTTCTAGACTCTAGGTTTGTTTATCATTGTCATATACATTTTGCATTCTGCTCTTTTTATAAAGATTTCAAGTATTTTAGTTCATACAATAATGCATTTATTTCAGTCCCCTGCTGAAAAAAACAAAACAAAAAAAACAATAGAAACCATCACATAATTTGTAATGGTTTTACTGGTTATAATTAAAAATTGTATAGTTTTTAATGGAAATTGTAATCATGCCTATTGGTTTCTACTGGTAATTGGTCGCCTTCTATTGGTGGCTTTTGTTAAAACCACTAAATCCTAATGAAATATGTCCCAAAACACACTACAGAAAACCCTTATTTAATGGTTTTAATGTTTAAAAGTTGATTGTTTGTAATGGTAATATACACACAACCTTTGAGCATGGCATTGATAACCATGTCACCACAGCACTGATTTCATTCCCTCATTTTAAAGAGGACATATGATGCTATTTTAAATGGTCATTATTTTGTTTATTGGGTGTACTAGAATAGGTTAATGTGCATTTTCACATACTGTATGTTATTGCAGCACCTCTATTCCCAGTCTGAAATGTTCTAATTGAGTTCTGGTTTTTACAAAGCTGCTCCTTGCCAAAAAGACCAAAGTGTCCTGATTGGACAGCTGACCCAGTGCATTGTGACTGGCCAAACATATCAAGCGTGTATGACGCCCCTTACCACAATCAGCTTCTGAAGCTTCTAAAGCAGCTGCAAACACAAACTGTTAATAATGGTGTTGGTTTTACCATATCATTTCGAGCCCAAGTCAAATTCAGAAAATGCAGATCGACTTGAGCAAAACGTTTTTTTTTTTTTTTCTTGAGTAAAAAGATTTTATTTTGTAAAGCCTCGCCCTCTGTCTTTGCATATGCCTTTGAGTGGGCATTATCATAACATATAAGTAGAAGTTTGCGGAAGTAATATCTAGACTTCAGTTTTTCATTATAGGAAGGTCTAGAGTGGTGTTCTCTGTTAGATAGAATAAATCCAATATGTGGGAGACTTTGTAACCTTGCAGACCTTATACGTGCACTAATAGATACATTACACACGAAAGGAAAAGTAAAACATTAAAAAGCATCATATGCCCTCTTTAAGAGATTATAACTATTTTCATAATTAGTAATGAACTATGTCCCCTAATAATTTCCTGCCTCTCTACAGTATGTTACACAATCAAATGAAAGTGGCAAAATCCCAAAAATATCTTGAATTCATGATCTGATGGATTTCTACTATTGCAGGCATTCTAGCAGGGTCACCATGGGTTTTGTGATGTTATTTGCCATAAATGCGATAGGATTGCTGTAATATTGTGAGATAGTAACGGCTGTTTGTACTTGTGGTGGGCCTATTTGGGAGAAAATCCAAGGCCGTTTTTTACTCCCAGCCCGTCCCTGGGGGGGCCCGGCAGAAAAAGTTTGGGAACCACTGAGCTATGAAATGAACAATGACTTTATTACCATGTGTACATGATCACTAAAATGGACATCTCTTTCCTTTATTTGTTGTGGCCCACAGGGTGATGTTGAGAGGAAACTGTCACAAATGATCCTGGACAAAAAGTTTCATGGTTTGTCATGGTTTTTCTTTTCTTTTTTTTAAATGATAAAATATTATTTAAAATATAATAATAAATTCAGCTGCAAACACAAACTGTTAATAATGGTGTTGGTTTTACCATATCATTTCGAGCCCAAGTCAAATTCAGAAAATGCAGATCGACTTGAGCAAAACGTTTTTTTTTTTTTTTCTTGAGTAAAAAGATTTTATTTTGTAAAGCCTCGCCCTCTGTCTTTGCATATGCCTTTGAGTGGGCATTATCATAACATATAAGTAGAAGTTTGCGGAAGTAATATCTAGACTTCAGTTTTTCATTATAGGAAGGTCTAGAGTGGTGTTCTCTGTTAGATAGAATAAATCCAATATGTGGGAGACTTTGTAACCTTGCAGACCTTATACGTGCACTAATAGATACATTACACACGAAAGGAAAAGTAAAACATTAAAAAGCATCATATGCCCTCTTTAAGAGATTATAACTATTTTCATAATTAGTAATGAACTATGTCCCCTAATAATTTCCTGCCTCTCTACAGTATGTTACACAATCAAATGAAAGTGGCAAAATCCCAAAAATATCTTGAATTCATGATCTGATGGATTTCTACTATTGCAGGCATTCTTGACCAAGGTGAAGGAGTGCTCATCATATTCGAAGAGCCCCCTGTGGACAAGACTTACGAGGCAGCTCTAGAAACCATACAGAACATGAGCAAAGTTGTGGATTCACTGTACAACAAGGCTAAGAAGTTAACATAGGTGAGGCACTTAATAAAATAAAATGCACACACAAATTATTTTGCTCTCTAAATATCCATGTTTGTTATGAAATCTGGTTAAATGTTTATCTGTAATTCATGTATCTGCCTGATTTTTGAAGCGCGTCTTCATGTTTCTCTCCTGCAGAATAAACATCAGAAGCTGCTGCTGTGTGAAATGGTTGTATGCGTGTGAGTTTGCCCGTGTGTCTGTGTGTATGGCCAACATGTGGAACTTTTTTTCTCACAGCAAAAAGGGACAACATTGAGCAAGATCTACTTGTTCCCCAGTTGAGAGTTTTTAATGTTTCTTTTCTTTCAAATGGACAATTTCATCTTTCTGATACTCTGATTTTTTTTGTTCTTCTCTGTATCTCTCAACGGCCAACACAGGCCATCAGGGAATGTTGTACAACTACAACAAAATCCTAAAATGTCATATAGAAATGTATAGCTCTTCTGCATTTAAAGTTTTTTAATCACAGCAACTTTGTGATACAGACTCTTGGGTTTCGGTTATCTGCGGTTCATCGGTTGTTTCCAGTAGTGCACATCTTTTTCCCCTTTTCCTCATTTTATGGATGCACATTCTAAATGATTGTTGTAGTTGAGAGATTCAAAGGAACAGGCTCTGTAATAAGCACAGTTGCCAATCATATTACCACACACACACACACACACACTAGAAAATGATTTTCTAAGTTCATATGATCAAGAGTATTGTTTGCCTTTTACTTTTGCAGTATACCGTCTTTACAGTTTTGTATTTACAGTGTACTGTTTGCCAAGTAGGGTGGTTATATTAAACAGCCCAGTCCTACAAAGGTTTTAGTCCTCTTTGATTAAAATAACATTTTCCCCAACACACATTTATGTCTGCACTGAAATTTATTCTTTCATTCGTTTGTTTGTTCGTTGATTTTTTTCTGATCTTTTCAGATCCGTATCTCAATGCAAACTCCATTTCTAGTTTGCCAGCAATAGACCATTGTATAAGTTAAATACCCTCAATACTGTTATTTTTAAATTCAATGTTTTGTAATTTTTTTGAAATCTCATTGTTTTCCTGTAAATGTATACGTTCACACAGCCTTTGCAAAAATTATTATTCATTTATTCTGTTGAGTGTGCAATTATAAATATTCAACAACAAAAAAGTAATTTCTTGTGGGAGAATGATGTTTTTAAATGACTTTGAAGTCCAATGTTGATTTGAGAGCTTCCTGCATGTGATTGTGATTGATTTGTAGTGGTGATCTAGCATTGATCATTGACATTGAGAATTTACTGAGACATTAAACACTTTGGAAAGTAATGTTTATTTTATTTTATTTTTGATTTATTTTTTGTGCCTAACATTGAAAAGTGGTCCACAAAAGTCCTCTATCCAAAGCGTAGGTTCTCAATGATTGAAATCTTGGTATAAGCAGATTTCAGTTCAAGGAAAATGACTTCATTTTTGTATGAGTTGGCCTGTTCACTTATTAAAGTGTTTTGATTACATTTATTGGTTTTGAGGGAAATTATCCTTATCCCTTGTTTGTACATGAGTATAATCAGGGCAATTTCCTTAATGTGGAAGCAAGTGTGTTTTTCTTGTGATGAGAAGTATTTGGGCATTTTCGCAACAAATACATTAGGATTGAATGCTAAATCACAGGGACATTATTTCATGAGAACCAAAACCAATATATTGTTTGCTGTGGTTAAAACAATATTAACTTTGTGTAGAAAAAGAGTAACCTCATTATTTATTTGAAGTTCTGATCTTATCCACTGAAATACCTTTTCAGAATAACTGACTCTTTAAGATCAGACTAGCTCAGATTAGTATATAAAATATGTAAATGCTTAAAGCTGGAATTCCACTTTTCAAAGAGTTAATGTATTAGTTTGTTTCTCTAGTTATAAATATAATTATGACAGCAGAGGGCAGACAGAGGTGATGGGACTAAAAATAATGACAATGAATAATTATAATAAAACAACAACAATTGAACAACCTAACTATCCTTGAGTGGATAAGACTGCTTCTCTTCTATTCCATATTACAATTTATTTTAATGAGCTTCTATAATAATTTCATAATTTGAACAGACTGACTGGGTTTAGTACTCTCAGCAGTTCAAATGATGAGATTAATTTAGATTTCAACAGAATAAATAAAAACTGCAATAAAAACATGCAAACTGCATGAATAAATATGGATGGTAAACCTTTATTTTGAAATAAACCTTCAGGTACATGAAACCCACATATACTCCTGAAATAATTTTTTAAAATTTATCTTTGAAATCCTTGGAATATATTCAGTAATTCAGATCAACTATATGAACAATTCTACGAATAACCGTTACACAATACATCCAGTAGCATCCAGAAATGACATTTGAAATATTGTTCCGAATAAATATGCGAGACTTTTATTTTGACACTCTAAATGTCCAGCGTTTGACTCGACGTTCTTGCGGACGCTTTCACACTGGCCTTGTATATGGCAGTTCAGTAGACAAACACTGAATGAAACGAAACCATACACGTGTCATGCTGATGCACGCAGACAGATACATTTAATAAACATGACTGTACAACGACGAGGAATCAGTAAAACCCCTGAAAGTAGCGCCATTGAAAAGAAAATTAAGAGGTAATGTTTTTCAATTTCTGAAACTTCATGAGCCCATATTGACTTTGCATTGCTGCTGCTTCAGATCCTTGTTTACATGCATAATACTCCCTACATGATGTCAGAATAAATGTATATTTCACTTTTTCGTTTCGTTGTGCAATCTGGCAGTCAAATGAATGGATGAAAGCAATGCACACCTGACAGTCCATCGCACCTGTGTTCTGTATTCCTATGGTGTGTGTTCATTCAGGGGAAATGCGCAGAGACAGGCCTCTTCTTGGAGAGGTAAGGTGATCACGCTGTTGCTGCTGACAGGAGTCACTGGATTAGTGAGCTGGATGTATTTCACATGGGCTGATGACTTTACACACACATTGGTTTCAAGAGGCGAGATCCTCACTCAGCCTAGAGTGTTCACAGTTGAGTGCTCTGAAGACTACAAGAAGTACAAGTTCTTTCCAGGTATGCAGGGGGTTATTCATCCATTCATTGAACTCCACTCACTCAGTGTACAGCATGTATTGCAATATTTATAGGAAACTACACTATTGCATTTGTTTTTTTTATAAATTTAATAGGGAAAATTGCATGTTGATTTAAACTGATAGAAAGTGACATTCCAACCATGTTTTTGTGGTATTTGCATATTGAACTGTAATTGGTCTTTTTTGATCAAACTCTATATTTTATTACAATTCTTTTGCTACCTTGCAAATATATGTATGGTTTTTAAAAGTGGCATTTAAAATGCATTCACTTGTTATGCATTGTTGCTTGTTACTTTTATAGATAAAATATATGAAATAATATTTATAATATGTGATAAAATATATAAATAAAGAGGGGAAAAAGTTAAATCCCTTTTCCTCTTGTTTTCATATTTATATAGATTGAATGTATAATACCTGTACATTTACAATAATTTATTTGTGATATTTGCATGTTGAACTGTAATTGATGTTTTTTTCTTATTATCAATTCAATATGCAGATTATTATCAATTTCTTTCTTAAGCTGTATTTTATTACAATTATTTTGACATCTTGCAAGTATTTGATAGTTTTTAACAGTGGCATTAAAATAGCATTTACTTGTATTGCTTGTTAATTTTATTGAAAAATATAAAAAATAATATTTAATAATACATGTATTATATTATAAAATATAAATTAAGAGGGAAAAAGTTTAAGCGTTATAATTAAACTGTCATTTACCTTTTTTTTTTTCCCCTGCTTGGGAACAGTTATTGCCAAAACTTTGTGAAAATATTTTACTTGGTATTGATGTAAGCTACATTCTCTTTTAAAATGGGTAATTTATTAGATTGATTAATCAATCAGTTACCTGGTTTGCTATGTTTATAAAACATTACATATCAAATTTTTCTTAACCAAAAAAAAAAAAAAGTTGTACTCTACTAATTTTCGTTGTGCATATCGGACAGACATTACGACAGACATAAATATGCTTTGGGAAAAAGAATGGAAAGAGGGAAATATATTGTCCTGAAGCTAACTGTAGCTGTTTGTGGTCTTTTGAAATGGATTCTAGCAAGTGGCATATGAATCTGTGCCAGAATGCTGTATACTGTGGAATTTGATTGGATGTACAGCCTTGTTGTCAATTGAACACCCCACTGTGAATATTGCCTGACTGACAGCACCTCCTCTCTGAGAGGATTCTGGAACAGAGTCATTATGCAGTACATTTTGCAGGGCAAGCTCCCTCGCTGAATGTGTCATTGAATATGCAGTTTGAAGAGAGAATTTGGCAGGGGCATAGAGCCAGTTACTTTAATCACTGTCATATCAATATAAAAGGCTAATGCATTCTGTCCTCAGGTTGCACCCCATCAAAATGCGGCAGAGCTATTACAGACAGTGTTGTGACTTTGGAGGAGGCAAAGAAGCTTAGAAGGTACACATGCACACTGACAAACATCTTGATAAATGTATATGTAGGGGCGTTTCCACCGAGAAGGCAAGGAACGCAGTGTCTCCTCAAAAAATTGGATGAGAAAAAAAGTTGTAGTACAAAAATAAAACAACACCAATATTACAAAATATAACATTAAAAAGTGTATAAATCACTAGTTTTCCTAAAGAATTATTGTCCAAGAGCGACACAGGCAGGTAAAGTTACAGCGGGAGTCCACGTCTCTCTCGCCTCCCCAGAGCCCAATGAGTTTTAACAGACCCTCTAAAGCATGCGGTGAGTTCGGTGGGGGGTAATTAAGAATGAATGGGGGAAAGTACAAAGACTTTTATGCTCATGAAGGCTGCATTTATTTGATCAAAATACTGTAAAAACAGTAATATTGTGAAATTTAAAATAACTGAATGTGCTTTATTCCTGCGTTGACAGTAGAATTTTCAGCAGCATTACTCCAGTCTTCAGTGTCACCTTTAGTAATAATTCTGATATGCTGATTTGGTGCTCAAATATCATTTCTGAATACTACACTGTTAAAAAAAATCTGTTGCAAATATGACATTATTGGAGTATGGTTTACAAGAATATACTATTTTCATGTTTATTTCAATGTGTTACTTGCTATTTTTGTAGCTAATTGTGAATTGTATTAGCAGTTTGTGAGTGAAAATTGTTGAATTTTTTCTTTCAATGTAGCATTGTTGAAAACAGCTGCTTAATGTTTTTTTTTTGTGGAAATGGTGATACTTCTGAAAATTATTTTATTTTGTTTTATTTTTTTCTCAAGATTCTTTGAGTAGAAATATCTAAATAACAGCATTTATTTGAAATAGAAGTCTTTTGTAACATTATAAATGTCTTTAATGTCAACATTGCAATATAATGCTTTCTTGCATAATAAAAGTATTATTATTATTTTAATTAATACTTTAGTATACATGCATAAATACATGTGTTCTCTTATTTTACAGGTTAGCTGAGCGGGGCTTATCACTTGCTGGCTCAGATGGTGGTGTGAGTAAACACTTTTCAGTTCAAATGCTTGCATCTTTGTTTCAAAATAATGACACGAGTCTGTCATGGAAGCAGTTGCTTAAGAACACAAGAGGGCAGTACACACTATGGTTTTGACTTGAGCTGGAATTCAAGAACAAACTTCTTTTCCATTATGTGTCTAGATGGCACCATATTGTTTGGTAAGATTGAGTTTCCACAGGAAAGCAAAAGCACTCTCATTAAGAGTGCATTTGAGAAAATTCACATATGATGTGTTGTAAATTCTGGAAGCAACTGTTATGTGTTTGATGGGAACAACTTGTGACATTCTCAGTGGTTATTGAAATTGCATTTTGCATTAGTAACAGATTAAGTTAGCTCACCAGTTCATCACTTTGCTGCTTAATGGGAAAATACTGGAAAAGAGCATTGTCAAAAAGTACATGTGGTGCTGAGACCTAAACCATATTGTAAAATAAAACTAACCAGATACTATTTAGACTGAATCTAAGGTCCAGTATTGCTTAAAATGTTACAACCACTGTTAATAACATCTTCATTTGAGATAGTTAAGCAGCTAGCGTTTCCTTCACTAATTTGTGGCTTGGAGTGACCTTGAACTTGTTGAAACCTGTAAAAAAGAAAAGTGAAATTCATAAAATAATTTTCTGTTTTAATATATTATAAAATGTAATCTATTGCTGTGATGTGCAAAGCTGAATTTTCAGCTGCAGTTATTTAAGTCTTCAGTGTCACATGATCCTTCAGAAATCATTCTAATATGCTGATTTGGTGCTCAAGAAACTTTTCTTATCAATATTGAAAACAGTTATGCTGCTTTATTTTTGTGGAAACCATGGTAGTTCAGGATGCTTTTGTGAACAGAACGTTCAAAAGAACAACATTTATTTGAAATAGAAATGTTTTGCCCAATTATTAATGTCTTTACTGTCACTTTTTTAATTAATTTAATGCATTCTTGCAGAATAAAAGTATTGATTTCTTTTTTAAAAATGTGCACTTTTCGGACTTTTCACCCAAATTGTTATGCTGATAATGCTGTTTGTTATTATACATTTCATGTTACCTTACAATAATGCATGTTTGAAGCATGTTTGCTTGTGGTGACTTTTAGACCCCTCTTATAAAAAGACTGTAGATTACTTTTTATGATGTGTTCACTTTATTTTGACTGCACTGGATTACATAGAGAATATCTAAGGTGATACCTGTATAATGTTACATAAAATAAATTTTTTAAGGTAGAAACCTAGTCTTGAGATCTTACCAGGCAAAGAGGCCTTTTATAGAGTGTGACCAGTGAACTAAAAGAGAGTTTTTAAGAGGAGATCAGCCTCATCATAATGATTTATGAAGTGTGTGGTGACAGAGAGCAGGGAATACCAGGACTGAGAGGAGTTCTTCTGTTGACCTTATGATGAAGCACGAATAACAGCCTCAAGTCCTCAGTGGTTGTCTTTGGAGTTTATTCAAACCAGAGATACTAGGGAAAGCATTGCTTTTTTGACAGATATTGACAGTTTCCTCTTTGAAAGTGTCTTTATTCCTTTTTGTTGTGTACAGGCCTCCATCCTGGACCTTCACTCTGGGGCGTTGTCGATGGGAAAGCAGTTTGTAAATATCTATAGGTGAGTATGCTGTCATCTCCAAGTTGTCTCCAATTGAACTTCAGCTACAGCTTGATCTATTCGAATCACAGCTCTATCAGACTTCTCAAGGTGCATTTCATCTGCACATCAAAGTACACCCTTGGGCCTGAGGAGCAGAACAGAAATCAATGGCGGCAATGATGGAATGACTTTCTAGCTTTCTAGATCATGTCTTCTTTTACACATGGAGTTTTTCCTCATGCCTTTATATGGGGTTTACACTTCGGTGCCCACACACAGGCTGGTACTCTGCTGGCAGTTAACGTGTACAGCTGGCATGTGTTGGCACGCTTGCGGTGACACTTTGGTCTTCTCTGTGTGTGAATCTATTGCTGCTTGTATTTTGATGTGGCAGCAGCATTTCAGTTTTTAAATGGCTGCCATCCTACAAATGTTTAAGGTGGTGTGTTTTTGTATTGGTTTTTATTTCCATCAGGACCACTATCGTCAAAGATGATTGACAATTAGCATACAGTTTGGATTGGCGGTATGGTTCTGTTCTGGGCAAGAACTCCCTGCGCCTCCATGCAGCCTAGCATGGATGAGAGCAGGGAGAGCAGCAATAACCCCCCAGGGTAAACAGAACAGAACTAACATAAATGTATTGCAGATAATGTTAAAGTTCAATCATTTTATGTACACATTTTAGAATTAGTCTGATTCAAGGAGAATCAGAAGGCTGAATCCCGACTGACAGAGGAGCAGTTGGGGATGGAGGAGGGTAATTAGCTATTGAGCAATGCGAAAACTGCTGATAATACTGAGGGACCTTATATATGAATGCTTAGATAGGTGTCGTATTCCCATAGGTAGATGGGGATCAGCTGAAGGTCAGCTGATGCAAGCTTGACTAACGTGACCTGCCAGAACTAACGCTACGCTTGATTTATCTCAAATGAATCCATCTGTTTTTTGTTTTTTTATCCCCAGATATTTTAAGAATGAGTTAAGGGATGTTTTTACAGAAGATGATTTTGAATTGTACAGGTGAGTGATGTGGAAATGTTTGAAGTAACTAAAAATCTGTTAATTCCAAATCATTCAGTTCTCAAATATTGGATGAGTCCAACGTTAGTATTTTATTTTATTTTATTTCAGTTTAGTTTATTAATTAAGTTTAATTTTATTTTAGTTTATTCATTAAGTTTAGTTTAATCATTAAGGTGTTTTAATTTTAAATCGTTGCTTCTGGTCAAAATATGAGTCCTCTATCCACAATAACGGTTCCTCCAGTAAAAAAAAGTCCATCTCAAAAGTTCCTGTTCTCCTCTCACATTAAAATCCACCAACATAATTGTGCAGGACTGTTTTGGATTGTTTTTGCTTCTAACCAGTGCTTGATCTGTGCATATTTCTCTCCTGATTCAGACAAGATGACTTTTCCACTGGCGAAACTAATATTAGGGATAGAGGACAAACGCACAGGTTTTTGCTTCACATGACGTTAATTGATAGACATGTGGATTATTATTTTGTTTATAGTAAATATTTTTAATTATGGGTGAACTATTCCTTTAATATTTGTAGTGGTGGTGCTTTATTTTTATAATCTCTTTAGCTGTGCCACTATAGTTATACACATTCAGACCGTACTTGGATTGTACTTTTTTTTTTTTTGCGTTTTACACCATGAGCATTGCATTTTTAAGATGATGTGTCAAGTTAAAAATAGTTCTACTGTTTTGAACACAAGAATCCTAATTATCCAGGGCTTCCTTAATGATTGGTCAGCTGGTCCTTGAGGCAGCCCACCAACTAGTTGGTCTAATCTGTGGTTTTATGATACCTATTATGGATATAGATGAATAAAAGTAGGAAATGTCTACTATATAAAGAAATTGTATGTGCTCTGTTTTAAACCAGGGATGTCCGTAGCCGAATTCAAAAGGTAATAGCTGAGACTTTTGGTCTGGACTCCAAACAGATGTACCTCACCAAGCCCACCTTCTTCTCTCGCATCAACAGCACCGCTGCCAAAACCACTCATGACGAGTACTGGCACCCACATATCGATAAGGTAACACGCACATCCAAGAACACTTTAGTGTCTAGCTTTTAACTCATATCCCAGGAATGTTCAAGAACTCCTAATGTTTACTCTATGACCAGTGTTCTGAAACATCAATCACATTGGTTCCCTCAGAAGATTTACCAAAAATATCTCCATGCACATGGGCCCAGATATTTTGAACTAGCTTTAATAGGCCATATTATTGCAAAGTTGACATTTATAAATAAATAATGTTTCACATCAAATTAGTTCAGTGACTTGAAATAAAGCAGAAATGTAAATACTTGTCTAGGGAAGCAAATCTTTAAAACAAACGCAAAGGGATTTGGATATGAATAATGGAACTAGATTAATATTATATTCGTGATGTAACCACACATCAGCTAATTATTACAGATATGAAAGTAATTGGCACTCAACCTCAATAACTGGTGTATGGGAGATCCCCACAGCCCAGTGCTGCACAGCTTCATGAACCAGTCACAGTATGTAATACTTGAATTTGATTTTAAGGTGACAAATATACTTGGTATGTACACTGACTTTTATTGCTGCACAGATGCGGCTTAAATGTATTTATACAGGAATCATAATCACAGGAAACAATGAATCACACGCTTGAATGTGATATGTTGATATATATTGATTTACGCAGATGAATGCTGATTTATGTGACGTTTTATGCTGACTATTTACAGATCTTCTTTATGCACCAAGAGCTTGTAACACTCCAAAGAGAAAGGAAAAATTGAAATAGCATCATATGACCCCTTTAATGCTGCTGTTTTTACTACAAAATATTATAATAATATTTTATAACAAAATATTTTATAAATACAAAATAATAACACAAAATATTTCGGCACCAAATTGGCAAAATAAAAATAATTATTTAAAAGACAGTTATTTAACATAACTGTCTGTCTTAATCAAATACAAATATTCATGCATAACGAGCCCCAGGAGGGGTCAAGACTCGCGGTACGCCACTGGCCCATATGGTTTAAGCATATTTGACCTATTCTCTGAATTTCTCATGCATTAGAGATGGAAATGCTCAGCAATGTTTGCATCCAAAACAATGATGTTTCATACAGCACAGTTAGGCCCTGAAGTCTTTATTTGACAAAGCCTAAAAAACATGATTTATTTTTGAAACAAAACGTAATGTTCCTTCTTTACTTTTGAGCTGTTGAAATAAGGTCTTGAGGGGATCTATTATCAGTTCAAGTTCATTTATGTCCGGTCTTAGAAATGCAGCTTTGATCTCTGAGTAGGTTGTGCATTTATGAATGTGGCCATCAGGGTGATTTAATCAAAGTGATCATTTCACTTTGCAGGCAAGGTTTACATGCTTGGCTGTAACGCATCAGAGGAATCAACTGCTTACATTGAATATAAATTGCTTTTGTGTTTTGGATTTCTTCATGTTGCATGAGAGGCAAAAAGATAAACAGATTATCCTAAGGTCATTGTAGCTTGTAGCTGCACCTATTGGTTTGTTTTTGAAATGTTTTCTGCCATTTGCTTATACAGTTTTATAATTCACTTGAATCAGTGATAATGTGCTGTGCTGGTAGGGTTTGTCCATTTGGGATGCGAGGTGATATTTTGGCATTGGTAGAGTAATAAAAACAAATAAGCGTCTCGATTGCTCAATGTACTCCCTCTGGGTAGGTGTGTGGAATATTCCTCATTAATCCGTCTCTGAAAAACCACTGGAAATAACGGGTGGCCGTCTGAACACTGCCAGTCTTAAATTCTAGATTTGATTAAAGTAGTTAAAAGTGTGATCTGACATGCTGAGCGGTGACGCCTATGTGGTTTGGGATCACTAAAGAGATTCCCCTCATAAAGCAGAGCAGATTTTAAAGTCCCAGGGACGCTGTTAAATTCTACCACTGTTTTTCGTTAAGCCAGGAAATTTTAGGCTTTACTTGAGTGTTTTTTTTCTTCTACATTACAAAAATTGCAGCAATTCTAAATAAATTGGTGAATAATGAAACTGTCAATCAATTAGAGATTACCTTGATGTGTTAACTCATAATCAGTTTGTTCACCCTGTCCCCCTCAAGTACAAAATTTAAATTCCACTAACTAAGATGAATTATTCAAACCTCCTAATTAGTGCTTTAGGCTCATGCCGAGATTTACTTGAGGTTTTAAGGAAAAGAAATGTTCGTGTTTTTTAAAATGAGCATTTTTTTTTTTTTTTTAAAGGAGACTTATGGATCCTTTGACTACACGTCTTTGCTCTACTTGTCTGATTATGGGTTGGAGTTTGGTGGCGGACGGTTTGTCTTCATGGATCCCAGTAGCAACAGGACGGTGGAGCCACGTGCTGGTAAATACTGTACAAACAATATCACACACATCATCTGGGTTTGTAAAAAAGCATGAAAGTACTGCAATGTGTTCAAGCACGATAAGGTTTTAATTAGGGCTGTCAGTTGAAAATGAAATCAAATTGATGGTGTGATTAATTAAATGATATGCCGATTAATCAAATCAATCAGCATAGTAAAGTATAGTAAAATGCAGATTATTGGCAAGATTAAATTCTTTAAATCTTAAGTCTTTTTAAAATAATTATTTGTACTTATTAACAGGTTGAATATAGACTGGCGATTGATGGCATCTTTTTATGGTTTTACAAAGAAAAAGTATATTTCAAATAATTGCTGCTCTTTAGAACTTTCTATTAATCAGAATGGATATTTTAAATATTTGAATTAAAATAGAAAACAGATGCTTTAAATTGTAGTAATTTTTCACAATATTACTGTGTTTTTTGATTTAAAAAAAATATGTACGAAAATGCTTAAAGCTAAAACCTTTCTTGTTGGTTTTACACCTAATGCCCACTGGAATTTTTAATTAATTTCTGTGCTCCCGAGTATTTAAATTACTTCTTGCAAGACATGGTGTGATGTTTACTTAAATTAAGATCAGTCATGCTCTGCCTGGTAACTGTGCCTAATGCGCATAATAATGTGCAAAATAGAATGAATGATTGATTGTTTTGTGTAACGTGTGTAAAGTTTCCGTTCTTTGAATTCTGTTGGGAGGGAAAACTGCATTTTAAAGTAGCAAGAAGTGTACCTCCTGTAGGAAGGCACAAGGGAAAGGTACTAAAACCAGTTAATCTGTAATGAAGATACATTGCAGGTAGTGTGTATAAACTTTATGAGGTTATTAATTGGCACCACTGAGCTTCTTTCGCACACCGGTGTCATTTTAAAGGATCATGTATGTGGCTCAGTGGTTGCATTGAGGTGCGAAAGCATTAATTGTAACTTTTTCATTTGTATATAACCATGCAGTACAGTGCTTCCCACAGGTTTGAAATATACTTGTGGTGGTAGCCAGGTGGAAAATCCTCCTATTACCCACGGTTTGCCTAGAACATTCTATATTTATTCAGTGCTTCCCACAGGTTTGAAATATACTTGCGGTGGTAGCCGGGTGGGAAAATCCTCCTATTACCCATGGCACAAAAATGGTCTACATTTGACAAATAACAAATAATGTGTGATTTTTAACAATATTTTAATTTATTGAAATTCATTTTAATTACATAGCCTACTATTACATTTAATTACATACTAATATTATTTATTATAATATGCATTGTAAATTATGCAAAATTACAGCATTTAAATGGTAGAGTTCTCCTTACTTTGTCATATAGTGTCTCTCTCAGTGAATGGCACACAGATTGTACTGATACTAGACTAGTAGAGAGAGAAAATATGCATTCTTACAACCGTCTAAAATAGTGGTCTTCACTATTTTTTTCATGGGAGCCGCACTGATAGGGCAAAGTCAATCGGAGAGCCACTTTTACCGCAAAGTATAAAAAATTGCATCCAGTCATAAATAGCATGTCTTTTTATCAATCTGTTATCCCTGATATGCAATGCAATGCAATACAAAAGGGAGTATCATTCTTTATCATTTACCAGTCAAATTTGAATTGAATTTGAAAAATTTTTTTTATACTAGCCCATCATGTATCTAACCATCCAAGTGCACATTCGGCGTTAAGAGCTGTTAAGATTAAAACTGGCAAGTCCGATGGACGTAGGACAAAGCAAGTGTAAATATCTTTTCTAGTCTATATTTCCATCTTCTAATGCCGCTGTTTTAGTTTTTTTTTAAAAATTTTTTATATAAATTATTTGTAATAGAGCAGACACTGTCTGACCGTTTTATGTTTTTCCATCCCCAAAATATAAGACGACTTAAAATGATCATTAAGACGTTTGTTTTACCATTTCATGTATTGAAGACTTTTTAAGACATTAAATTTAAGAAAACTCACCCGGAGGGATTTTGCTTTATTCGCACACGTGCTCCTTAAATACATTTTACAGTTCGCGCACATCTATTTTTATTTGCGACTGAAGCGCCCGCACTGTCGAGCCCCGTGTCTGTGAAATATCCCCCACGTCTCTGCAGCGCACGTGGGAACGTCAGCGGGAGTAAACAGTTCTCGCGCACACAGAACGAGCAGATACGAAACGTGTAGGGCAAGGGGAGATTTTCCACTAATCAAACACGGATGGTTTCATTATTTTGGGCGGATAAAAA